TGATGTTTTTTGTATCTAATTATGATCAGGTGGTGTATCATATTATTGGTAAATATATATTTTTTTTTTGCTTGTTGGTTAGATGGGAGAATTGCATTAAGTAGGTATGTAAGAAAGAGTTTTCTTTGGTAATAGTATTGTTGTTTGAATTTTATTGTTTTATTAATATTTATATATGCTAAATTCTTGCTTATATACTTTCTTTATAGAATTTATGAAGGTTGTTATTGTTAAGTGATTGTTGTGTGTTATTTTGTTTAGTACCTATATAAGGTGTAAATAATTGTTAGAATTGTTCTAAGCTAAATTGATATAGAAGCAAATTTGTACTTATGTTTGATAAGTGTTTAGAGCAATCCAGAAATAGTAAATGAAATTGTCAAGTGAGTGGAAAAACACTAAAAAATGATTTATAGCTAAGCATAATTTAACTAAATAGTTAGTACAGTAATGTTATCAATTTTACTGTATTAATGAAAATAGTAAAATAACAATAAAACAAAAAATATATTATGGTTTTTATTAATGTTTTTAATTAACTGATGGAATTGAAAAACAATAATGATGCTGTAATTTGTTATAATCAATTATTTATTTAACATGTTTATTGAGTAAAATAAAAATGTTAAGCATATATAAGATATGGAAATCACACTTTCTATGATACGTAAATGAATAATATCAAAAGAATTCTTATTTAGAAAATGTATAGAACAATAAAAATAAAGGATATTGACATAGTGATTAAACATATAACTTATCCAATAGCACTTCAGGAGCAGGTATATGTTTTATAACAACTCACATTTAAGTATAACCAGGTAAGGCCAATAATACTAAAATATAATTCAAATTATTTTCCTTTATAGCAACAATAGGTTTTATTTTATGAAGGTCAATGAACGTTTTCCTTTTTCTAAGTTATTTATGCAGTTTAAGGAATGCTTTCCTTTTCTAAGCTAAATAGTTTTTTCGTTCATTTTTCTTATATAAACGGCATCTAATCGATAAGCGAAAAAATTTTTGAGCGCAATTGAGCATGAGTATGAGCTGAGCTTCGATGCGTTGTTGAAATTTGTGAAACTCAAAAATTCCATTAAAAGCAATCTCGAAGAAGATCAATTACCAAAATAAAGCAAATATGAACCCAAATAGTAATTCTGAGTAACACCAAGCCCAAACGATTACTTCTAAGCGTTAAAATAATAGCTAATAATGTCGCGATTGAAGCTGAGATCTGCTGATGGCTTTATTCTGATATGAAATTTTAAAATTTTTATGATGCTTTTTTAGTTTTTTTTTTTTTTTTTTTTTAGGGTTAGGTTAAAATTCATGGTTAGAGCTGTTAATAAAAGAGTATATGTGGATGTTAGTAGGTCAACCTCAAATCTCAACATCAGTCGCGACACCTAATATATTTTAGTCACTAGATTCTCCTAATATTTATTCACAGCATGATAAAAAATTCCAGAAGTTATTACGAACAATTATCAATCATATTACATTAATTTTTATCTAGGTATTTAAACAACAATAAAACTCTAACAACGATATTATTGTAATTAAAGTTTATAATTAAATAATAATAATAATAATAATAATAATAATAATAATAATTAATTCCTAACAATAAAAAATTTCACGCATCGTAATCCTCCTCTTCAATTGTAATAATAGGATAAAGCTGTCTTGAAGGTATTTTTCTCGAATTCGCGAAAACATCACTACCTAAACTTAAAGCAGAAGTATTGCTGGATCCCGTTGAAGCTTCACTGACATAAGTACCAGTTGATGCTGAAGACACTGATTTTCTTTGGATAAATCTGGGATGAAGTTTCGAGGAACTCAATAGGGAAGGTTTATCAATAGAGGCTGTAGAGTTTGATTTAGGTAAATTGACAAAAGGTTGCGCATTCATAGATTTAGGAATTAAAACAGAATTCGACATCATAAATAAAGAGGATGATTCATATTCAGAATTATCATCGATGATTGATGAAAGTTGATGGCTATCGAAGCTATTCCGAGTTATACTTTCATTTTTTGGAAGTAGATCATTAATGAAAGTTGTTATACGTGTTAAAGCATTACGTGAGTGTTTGCCAAAAGTGCCTAGAAGAATCGGATAACTATTAATGACATTTGTTAAAGAATATGTCGAAAGAATTAGTAAATATATAAATCAATACTATAGCATTACAAAGAATGGACATACTCATGAACCATATCTTCATCCATCTCAATAATGACATCAGGGTGTAATCCATCCTTTGCTTCTATCTCAAAATCATTTGGATCATTATCGACTTTTTCAGATTCAAGAGAATGATTTCTCTTACTCTTAATACATTTTTGACAGAACATCTCAATATCATCTCTAAACACTTCTCTTCCTCCATAAGAAATAAAAAGAGGAGGATATTTAGCAAGAATATGATGAGGTGTATGTAATGGTGAAACAAATGGATTTCTAAATGGGTTCTCAGTCAGTGTCCTATTCTTTTTCTTTCTTAACCTTTTCAAAGATTTTTTTGATCTGCCAAATTTTGGAGTATCTGCATTTCGAGAACTTTCCGAGTTATTACGTGACAAACTTTCAAGTGTTATATGTGGTTTTTGACCAAATTCAGATGGTGTATGAATTTCAATAATATCAGAAAACCTAACAGAATTTCTGCTCTTTCTTCTTTCAGAATTATTACCACGAAGAATTGAAGGTGGGCGTGAACTACATAATGATCCAGATCTGCTGAGAGAGTCAATATTATTATTTCTTCTGTGTGTGTTAACCATGCTAGGATTTCTACCATATGCA